TATGTATATATATATATATATATATCTGTGATAACGACCCGCTCGTGGGCGTCAAAACCCGCTCCAATTGCAAACGTATAACCACTAGCCGGATTTTTGCCGAATAATTGCTGTATCTCTCTTTTCTCTTTCTCCCTTCCTCCCCCCCCCCTCTCTCTCTCTCTCTCTCAAACGCATTGACCGACCGACCGACCGAGCACGCGCGGCCAATGCGGCACGGGCGGTTTATTACACGTGCCGTGCGTTACCGAACCGTCATCATCTCTCCGGCAACGGGAATACATGATAAACATTTAATGTGCGTTTCCACATATCGGATAGGAAGCGCGAATGAGGGAAGGTATGGGTGCGCGCGTATCGGAAAATAAATTTCAACCGCTCGGCTCGCGGAGATAACGGTTCGTGTCCGTGATAAAAACGTGAAACCGGATATGCACTATGAATAGTCATGAGACCGGGTGGGAGTCTCATTATCCTTATGCCAAGGGAGGATTAAAGCGCAACTTTCACCCCTGTACCGACGTACGTTGAATACATTCCGTAGAGAAACTCGGTTTTATCCGTTATTTTAATCTTCTTACCCGCGGTCTGCACTCTGCTTGCAAACATTCGCGCGTCTTTCTCACGCACAAACGGCAAAATGTAAAGAATTTTACGGCGTCTGTGTGTGTATTCCGCTTGAAAGGAAAATCCAGGAAATACAGAGGGTTTATTAGAAAAGAGCGCGTTCGTCTTTCGTATTTTTTAGTAATCGGAACGGGGGGAAGTTAACTTTGCAATTGTATTATACGTAACATCGGGGAAGTTCAAAAAATTACGTTTTCGTAGCGGGTTAATTCTGCTCGAAGTTAAATGTGCTGATACGTCATTCTTTTTTTTCTTTCGTCTTTTTTTTCAATTGCCATCTCTTAATCCCAATTTTATAATTTGCCGGTCGACGATTCATGCTCCACCTTCCTTTACGTATGTGTCTACGTAATTTTTCGAAACTGTCACTTCGCTCAAGTATTTTTATCTCGTTTGCAATTTATACTTCTACTTTGTTTCGCGAAATAATGAAATAAATGAAGCGCTCCTACGGGACGTTCACACTGCGCGATAAAAATATTAAAGGTCGTTAAATGTTTGCAGAGTATTAAAACTTGACAGGTTTAGCGCGTTTCTTTATAAAGTTCTTTACAAAGAGAAAATAACACAGCGAGAATAAATGGATGTTCCTCTTCGGAAGCAATACTGCTTGACGATGCGCTCGGCGTAAATGCGAATTTCATAACTGCTCGAGTAACGAAATAATTTCGAAATATCGTGCGCGCCATAAATCAAAAGTCACTTAATTACACAATTTTGTTTTATAGCAAGTTGCAAAAGTTATGCGAAAATAATGTATATGTTTGAACGTCAAAAAAAAATCTACGTAGGCGTTAAGCTTCATCGCGTTCATTGACTTCGCGGTATATTTCAAACTAATTATTTGCGGAAATTTTTGAGAAAATTACTTTTTGATAAGATTATGTCTTGTTGATTAAAAGAGTACACTTCATTCTTATACCGGTATAATGGCGATAAAATTGAGCAATCTCTTGTTACAATCTCCAATACCACTTTATTTTTAGAGCATGATATTTTTTACATTATGTGTACCTAACGAACAATTTATTTTAGTTTAACTGTAATTTCCAAGATATCAAACAGATTGTATTCTCTTGTTAACGCGTGCTAAATGTAATTAACTGAGCGTTTAGATATATAAAATTTTCCTCTAACGTTTTGAAGACGATTCCCGGGTGCAATTGCAACGCGCGGAGAAACGCTCCGCGAAGCGCAGAAAATTTCCTCTCAGAAATGCAAGCATAGTAGTTTTCACTCGTGATATAAAACATATAGCTACGGGACGTACATAGTGTGCAGAAGCGCAAAAACTCCGGCCGGGGGTAGAAAACCGTCGTCAGCTGATTCGACGATTCCCGCGCGCGATGATTGTTAACCGGTGGCTGTGCCTTCCAGGAAACTGGGCTGGCGGCTGGGGCTTCAATCGGTAACCGGAGCGCTCTCGCTGGCCTTCTTCCTGGGGCTGATTTACCGGAGTGCCTCGCTGTACCACCCTCAGCGGCGGGCCATGGTGCATCTAAAGAATCAGCGCGGCAAAGTCAAAGAGAAGAAATCCGCGGCCAAAGTACCGAGGCAGCCGCTGGTCGACCTGAGTCCCCTGGGATCGCGTCCCGTGAGAATGCTCATGCTGGCCGCCGGTGCCGCCGGTTTCGGTCTTTACACCCCCGCCTTCTATATCGTAAGTGCACTCACAAAGTGATTGAGAAAAATTTTTCCCTCTTTGATAACGGATTTCCCTCTTTGATCCCGGTCGTCGCTATACTCCCAGAAATCTGGTATAGCAAAAGCCACGAAAATCTTGTTCCATTTCGCATTTGTCGATTTGCCTTTCGGAGTCGCATGCTCAAAATTCCTTCTTCCGCAATAAACGTGTAACTTCCCTTACAGAAATCTAATTTAATACCGTCCAATTTAAGACTGTTGTTCGGCGCTTTTATTTTACTCAAAACAAGTAATTAATCACTAACATCTCCAGCATTAAAGAGTGGCTCAAAAAATCGCCCGTTTTTTTTTTGCAGACCCTCGATTTTGAGACTGAACTGTGTGCCAAACGATACCTTATAATGAGACATTAATTATAGAGAAGTTTCAAGTTGAGATAACAATTGTTATCAGAGCTGGAAAAGAGGGGGCAGGGGGTGAAATCAAAGTTCGTTATGGAATTATCACAGGTCTGCGAGGTTCGGTATTTTAAGAAGGTTGATCGCAGTTTTACGCAAATGACGCTCGTTTTGGATGTAAAAAAAATCGAGTTTTCGCGTAAAGAGATGTAATAAGTGATTCCTCCTCCAGCTATGACAACAATTGTCACCTCAACCTGAAACTTCTCTGTCATTAATATCTCATTATAAGATACCATTTGGTATACAGTCCAGTCCCAAAATTGAGAGGTCAAAAAAATGGGTGAAAAACCCATCTTTTTTTGAATCACTCTTTCCGTAAGGATTAAAGACAAAGAATTGTTAATATGTGGTTCGGAGAAAAGTCGCCTCAGCCGTTTCGTTTCAGTCGGAAGAATTACTCGCCAAATGCACCGTAACGAGTTGCGAGACAATTTGACAGCACGTGACGTTTCTGCTTAGGGTTTAATGACGCGGAATCGAGCGAACGTCGAGTTTCCTAATTTCGCGATTTCCGGAGTAATCTCGCGAGGATAGACGGGGGCCAATTTCGATAATCGATATTAGACGGGCGTCGTTACCGACGACGGCGTCATTGTCCGCATTATCGCCGGCGATCCGTATAGCGCGTTTCTTTCTGGCGCGGCCTTAATGTGGAACATCACTTTCAGGCATTGCAGGGCTACCAGGATGGATTGGAGGCGAGCGCCCTGGTGCTGCTGCAGACCTTCCTGGGCCTGGCGGCGGCACTCGGATGCGCGGCTTTGGGGGTAGTTATCGTCAGACCTTCCGCTCAGTGCCTAGTGTCCAGGCAATATCTCTGTCAAGCGGCGCTCATTGGAGTCGGTCAGTACACCTCGCGGTCGCTCCCGCATACGTGCCCGTAGTTAACTAGTAAACAAGTTCAAATTGCTGGATATTCGCGTCTCCTACCCGCGACGATGGTGACACACGATCTAACGCACTTTGCACTTTTTTATTCTTCAGAATAGCTACATATATCATATCATGATACTCTTTAGCGTTTTGAATTGGAATTTTCCGATTTTATCCTGTTCTAGTCTATAAGTTTTTTTTCCTTTGATCTTGATTTCACCGGAACGAAACTGCGAAAAGAACTGTTCGTATCTCGGTATTTCGATGGAACATTTTTTTTTCGCTGCAAAGCCCCGCGATAAAGCTCTCGCTTTTAAATGAAAATTGAACCCGGCGAAATTGTGCAGCGCGATTCGCCATGCGAGAGAAACGCATCGATTTTGAGACTCGTATAAGTGAGTTTTGTGCACACACGAAGGTCTTACCGGAGGAGAAATTATCCGCGTAGTGGAAAATACAGAAAATCGTGCTGCATGAATTTTGCGCGCGAACGACCTTAGAATTGTAGATTCAAGGATCACACGCCTCAAGGATTATCGATTTGAATTCGGTTTCTCTCTGCTTTAAAGCCGTAGCTCAAGTGGCGCTCGGTAGCGTGCAAGGTTATCACGGGCTCGTGCTGGCCTCCGCGCTTTACGGCGCCTCGCTCGGCGGCACGCTCTACTCCCTGAAGATGCTGGCCCTGGAGAGGCTGCGAGCGAGACACTTCGCCAGATCGTGGGCTTTGGTGCAGGCCGCGGAAGCCCTGCCCATCCTTCTCGGAGTTCCTCTCACAGGTACGCGCGAGTAATGCAGAAATTTCAGGTGCACCAGGTTCCCCATATAGGTTGAGGCCTCCTCCTCGGGTCGTCCTTGATTTATTTTCAGGATCATTACGACGGGTCACGCAAAAACGATCTTTTCATTTCTTACCGCAAACTTGCCCAAGCGGAATGCATTTACATACATAAAGTAAATATCTTCCTCTACAAAAGCTATCGTTACAGATTTTAAAATGGAAGATTATATTGTATATTTCTCTCTCTCTCTCTCTCTCTCTCTCTCTCTCTTGTAATATGAGACGAATTTTTGCGTTCAGTCAACGACGGATATTACGAAAGTACCCGACAGAGCCATTATATACTCTTTCTACATAATATTTCGATAAAGCCTCCGCCTCCACATCCATTATAATGCGCGCGCAGTTACTTCCTCCTAAACGCAGATTCTTCGTGCTTTCAAACGTCCGTACAACAGTATTAGAACTTTAGAGCCACCGAGGTGGGCGAAATCCGCTCTCCCGCACGCTAAATCCGTCCCTACTAATGGTCTTACGGTCTCTGTGTATGAATTTAATGCCGGCGTCCTTAATAATAATAACGTACGGGGCTTTCGAAATACGCTCTCCTCCGGCCTCCTCTCCTGCTCGAGAGAGAATATTCAAGGAAGCATGACAACTGTCACGCATATTCGTAAGACCCAAGCATATTATATATGGTAGAACTGCAAGGTTTTGGTCACTTTGAGGAGCTTAATTCAGCAAATCCACTGGAATTTCAGCAATTCGTAATTTCGGTATTCCCTCATCACTGCTATCGCATTATCTACTGGAGGAGCTTTGCAAAATCGTGCAAAATTTAAAAATAAAGAATATTAAACGGCATGTATAATAGCGTTTTAAGAGAAAATCAAATTCTATTATAAGTTAAATAAAATAAATCTTTTTGATAAATAAATCATGATCATACAGAATCTTTAACAGTTATGACGATAACTAATTGAGACCGCACATCAAAGATATTAATTTCCTGTGTAGATTCAGTAATAATTCAGTGAAGTCCATTTCGAAAACAATCTCATGTTTATTACTAGATTTAACAACTTGCAAATTGCACGATCATAACATTCTTCCTCTGGACTTTTCAATTGCAAGATTGGATTATTTTCAAAAATAGCGTTATTTTTGAAAAGATAATTTTCAGCATTTTCAATAATTGCTCCACATTGCAGTAGGTATATTCAGAAGCACTCTTTAAAAGTGAATCAGTGAAATCATCACTGATTTTCAGTCTATATCATTTTTCAATGGTACACTTTGGACTGTGATAAACAGTGACAATTTCAGTTCTCTGAAAATCGTTTGACAATAAAATTTACTATCTTTTAGTGATATTCACTGTTTGAATCAGTATATATTATCAAATGAAACAACATTAAAATAATCACCGCTTATCACAATTCAAAGTAAGTATGCCATTGGAAAATGATACACTGAAAATCAGTGATTCCACCGATTCCACTTTTAGATAGCACAATGGAGACAATGAAAAAAATTATGTTGAATCGATTGCACTTTACAAAAATTTTCTTTGTATTTTTAAAATTATTAAAAATCATTCTCGAAATAAAGTCTTGTCCCTGCGAGACGAGATTGTAAGACTCCCGGTTGTCTTCGTGTCCCGAGAATCCGGAGGCGTTACTTTCCTGAGAAACGCGTGACAGATCATACGACGCTTTAATCGCAAATCCATCGTTCCTCCCTTCAGGTTACATGAACGCGAGCAGCCCGCGGGTGGGTTACTACGCGTGCACGCTGAGTTCCTTGTGCGGCGCGGCGCTCCTGTTCCTGGTCGGCTGGGGCCGGCAGCCGGCGTCGCCGGTTCTGCCGGGGCCGCGGCTCTCGAGCCTCGGCCTCGTGCCGCCGCCGCCGCCGTGCGTGTGCCCGCCGCCGCCGCGGCCGCGGCTGCCCAAGTCGCAGTCCCTGCACGTGCCGCTGGACGTCGAGGACGGCATGCGCGACCGCGACTTCGTCGAGCGGGTGCACCACGACCACCACCCGATCGTCGACCATTACTGCCATCCGCAGTTCCACCACGCGCCGTTGCGGCCCAGCAAGAGCGTGCCGGAGGGCCTTGGCCATCAGGATCCGTATCGGACCCGGCCGCGACGCCACCGCGACATCACCGTCATCGAGCAGATCACCACCAGCGTGTAAGGAGGAAGGGGCGGAGGGATCCCCGGTCGGCGCGCGTCCATCAGCAGGCTAATGGGAACCAAAGAGCTCGCCGCAACGTTTGTTCTATCCTATAGGATTTTTAATTTCGCGTTTGCAATATCATTGCGGTAGCGGCGACACAAAAGGAGACGCCTATATCGCGCTATCGCGTTTCATCGGGACGCGATCTGCATGAGCGGTTACTTATGTATATTGATTTCAGACTTGTACAAAAGCTCTCCGGGAAAGCTCCTATAAAAGCTTTTATCTTCTTGTCTTTCTTACGCTTCGAGGAAGTCGCGTCGAGGAAAGAGCGGAGAGTATCGCGTTCCTTTTTATAACTTAACATCGCTATTACGTTTTGTTATTATATGCCATCCGCTGGCTCACTCCTTCCCCCTCCCCCCTTTTTTTTATTACTCCACGTCCGTCGCGTACAAGTATAATTTGCCGGAAAATTTAGGGTGGCTCTTGAGGAAGGTTGGGGACCATTAGCGTAAAAGCCGGCGCCGCAGTTGCAGTCGCAGTCGCAAGCGTAAGCGGAGAGTAAAATAGTAGCCGTGAAAAAGGAAATAATTGCGCACGCGGGATGGCCACTCGCGCACGATCGTAAATCAAGGAAAGGAATGACAGAGTTAAAGTTCTTTAGAAACATCCCTATACTACGCTCTTTTCCTACTAGCTGCTAAACGATCGAACTATTGAATTGAATTAGCATAAAAATCTGTAAGTATATCTCGAGTAAACGAAATTAAATGTATTTAGGAGGCGCGTTATTAGGAAAATGTTCATTCGTGTTGATGCGCTTGTTTGGAAGTATTATTACCGGGGAAACGACTGTCCGCTGACTAAACGCACATTCAACGACAAAATATGGCAACGGTTTTTTTTTTTATAAAGTTTGATGAAAGATATTATTCCCCCTTACAGAAATTCAATTTAAAATACTAACCAACTGATATTGAAAATTACTTATTTTGAGTATTAAAAGCATTGAGCAACAAAACAAGTAATTAACTACCTTCCAGTAATAAATTTCTGTAAGGGTTATTCTTTCCAAAGACTGGAAAAAACACGAATGATTATTACAGCGACGAAAGAGCGATCGAGACTTTGTTTCTTTTAATAAATATTCTTTCCATTCTCTTCTCTCGCCGAGGGTCGATGTAGTCGTTATCTACATCTCCTGGTGGGGAATGCCGAATAGTTTTGAATGCATTATTCTCAAATGGGGATCTCCTTGGCCTTTAAGCGTCCTCGTTATTTGCATTTCGAATCGACGAGATGAATTGACGAATCGAGTTTGGTCCGAAATCGCGAGTTTGTATCCGTTTCTATAACTTTGATGTTGACTGTCCGATTAGTCGACTGTTGATCGCACAAGTATTTCTCCCCTGTCGTATAGAGTTTCGAAATAACATATATATATATATATATATATATACATTATATGTATATGTATACAATGAGAAATTCAATTAAATTAATACGCACCGCCGTATTGATTCAATCTCTGGAAAGTGGAACAATCTCCGATTTACGAAACGAACGGTTTTCAATTTATATGACGTCTCGTTTGGGAAATATCAGAGTCAATCAGAACGTATCCTTTTCAGCTTTATATCCGTTTCCTTTTTCTCTTTTTACGCATTTCTATCCTCGGCCCGTATGTGGGTCACGATTTTTTCTTCCGAATTGACGAAGGCCAGTATTCATAGTCGATAATAAATTATTTAACGAATCCTTAACGGACATAATCATTTAAAAATACTAACCGTAAATAATAACAGACTTATTCAAACGCAGATTCGTAAATCGAATTCTGGAAAATATTAACCCAAATAAATGATTGATGAACGATTCTATGAATTTATAATTAATTATAGATCAATCAAAGATTGAAAATTATTTACGACTATGAGTTCCGGTCCAAGTGATGTAAATCAGGAAGTTAAAGCTGTTAGAGCAGGGGCGCACGATTTACGGGGCCAAAGTTAGGTTCCCCAAACGTAATTTGTATCGGTTAACTATCGGATAAACGTAGAGGGATAAACCTTTCCCATAATTTCCACTTTTTACATCCAAATAGCTATAAAAATTGTATCGCACTACTGTGTTGTTATCCAAAATAACGCAAAAGTATTAAAAATAATTATTAGAAGTAACGCAAAAGATATTTCACACGGGCTTTCTGTACAGACATTCCACAAATAGAATTTGGAACGTGTGCCCTTGCGTTAGAGCAAAACTGTTTTTACTACATGTAATTATAATCGACGCGTAAGTATCGGGCGGAGAATTTGTTAGATCGTAAAAGTTGTAGTCTATAATGTTACAGAGTATCTCTTAGTCGCGTTGAACAAGATATCCGATTTCTTTGAATCAACCATATATAAGAATCAACGTAAACGTTATTAATCTTAACGTTCGTTATGAGACCTTTTTTAATATAAAAAATAATATATATATATTATATATATACACATTAACTTTTGATGTGATGAATTGTTTGTATACTGCCAATTTTTATAGGATATAATCGAGTCTCGATTTTCGATGGTTGAACGCACGCAATGGAGAAATCGCATGTGCTAATTTTACGAATTCACCGACGAGATTGATGAACCTGTCTTCGTGTTTTGTCGGGACATTTGTAAACAATAGGACATTTTTTTTCCTAAAGTCTAGTCTCTCGCAATCGTTAAATCGGGATTGTTAACGAATTTACACAGTAGACAAATAGCTCACCTCGGAATGTAAACAAGTTTGGTCGAGGAATTCGCTTGTGTCATAGTACTTCGTTATATAAGACTAAAAAGATTAGCGAATTATTTACAGTTTTCACTCCTTGTGCCAATTTGATTGTTTAACAATGTTTTTAATAGAGGTTTATCTCTATTGCAGTTATAAAACATACATACATAAGGTTTTGAGCACTAATAAATTTTATAAAAGCGAGCAATATTGGAACAAAAATAATGTAGTTTTTCATTTTTTTTTTATACTTTCTAAAAGTGAATCAATGGAATTATTACTGATTTTCAGTGTACATCATTTTCCAATGGCATACTTTAAACTGTGATAAACAGTGTCCTTCAGCTCTCAAAACTGTTTGACACTGAAACTTACTGTCAGTGATATTCACTGTTTCACAGAAAATATTCGAAGTAATCACAGTATATTATCACTGAAACAATATTGAAATAGTCACTGCTTATCACAGTCTAAAGTATGTCATTGAAAAATGATATGCATTGAAAATCAGTGATAATTCTCCACTGATTCACCTTTAGAGAGTGTATGTATAAACACGTGTTTTTTTTTTTCATTTAACAAAGTGCACAATTCAAGGGAAACAAAAGGTTAAATTTAAGAATTATACATTTTCATGAATTTATTACTGTCAAAATTAATGAAACGTTTATACGGCAATAATGTGCTGGTAATAAATTCACAAATTGGACGTAATAATTAATAATTACTTTTATGTCTATACCCATATATGAATACTTTGTACATTTGCTCGCGTATATTATACAAAATGTTACGTGTTTTTCACATGATTAAATCTACTATTAAAATCTAATATCAAGATCTAATAATAGATAATTTGTATACTTTATCCGTAAATTGACGTTCGTAACTAAAGATTATAATTTCCAGGATGATCTTTCAGTATTAATCGTGGTGTGTGTCTTACGAAACAAGTGCACGAAGGATTAAATGTGCCTCACGATGATTTTGTACGGCATTTGAAATTTTTTTAAATTTGATAACCAGATTGTTTTGAAGGAAAGGAATTTGTAGCGTGTTTTTCTAGCTAGATCGAAATCCGAGCTTAGAGGTATATTTGCACAATCACGTTGCGTTTACAAACGGAAATAATCTTAATCCGAAGATATCATTGAAATTGTAAATGGATGTTTCTCGAGGAATCCTGCGGCAATCACGTTAATCACATAACAGCTTTGTCGTCAATCGATTCTTAGAAATCGCGTAACTCCGTTGCCTTGTAAATATACCTAAGCAAGGTTCCCTTATTGCAACACGTTGAGCATTTTGTAAAGTTTTATAAATAGTTCTACGTAGTTAAACAGCTGGACCAATAAAGTATATATCCGATTGTACGTTATTTCTACATGTATATTCTTGTCACCCTATTCAGTCGTAAATATCTGATTGTCTTATCCAAATCCACACAATTATCACAGACAAGATGTAGCGATCAATTAACAATAAAAATGCAGCTTTCTTTTATATACACAATAATAGTATATTTAATTTCTAATCTAGCTAGTTTAGACTGTTAGCGATATACTTCAATCCCTACTTTTGAGCTCGTCTCTGCATACGCTTCGTCACTTAACGTTTAAATCGTATAATTAATGTGATTTACGATTAATAAAGATACTTTCGTTCGCTACACGAATAAAAATTGTTTCGCAAAGTCGATGAGAGAATAAATGCGAAGTCGGAGTGAACATGAAAGGTACACCGTGTAATTTAAATAATTTCATTGTTTATTTAAATTATAAGTATATTTACTCCATCACAAGAATTATGTTATACTATGCGATACCTCGCGTTATCGCAATAGGGATACTTTCCCTCCTTCCGAAAATGATACATGATAACATGGTATGTATGAAGAAAAACTCACGAGTAGAAAACGTTCCGAGAGTATTACATAAAGGAATAATGCGTGAGATCCTTTAGTAACTAATAATCGCCAATTTCTTCATGCTATAAATACAATGTGAATATACTGCCCAGTTCCGGAGTTTACGTATTAAATACCTGTAGTGACAATAGAGTCCAAAATTTTTGTTCTAATTGTATCACAACGGGAAATTTCGAGTACGGTGCTGACGAGTAGAATTCTACGGGTTTTTTTTATTCCGTATACACGTTCGTTGTATTTTAGATGAGAAAAAAAAACGAGGACAAGTAGAATGCAAAGTGATGTATGTTATCGCATCGATCTGTCGATCTTACAAAAATCACGGTAACTAAAGATTAGCGCACGATTTTCACGCTTGACACGTTACAAGTTTGCAGGCACGTACTTTTTATATGGTACCGGGTACAAATCGTGGTGTGACCAACGGATTTTTCACATAAAAAATTTATATAGACACGTTCAAAAACGGACAAATATCTGCGATCTCTGTATCTAATTGCGAGTGGACCCTTGTTTTGGGGTTGTACTTGTTGCTACGTAACAATATTAATCCGACTCGTTTCTTGCGTAACAATGTAATATGTCATAAAATTTGCTCGTTATTATGTATTTAAGTACATTCACACAAGTGTGGCTTCACAATGAACTTGTCGCTGCCGATTGATAAATTTACAATAAAAGTAACATGCCCTAACAGTCACTCGCAAATTTCTATCACTGCGAGAGGAGCATGTTTCCGATCTGCGAGACACGTTAAGTTTCGCGTAGAACTTTCGCTGCTCTTCAATACTAATACTATCCCTCCCATACTTATATGTATATACATATATAATATTGGCATTTTTATAAGTGTAAATAAAAAAATAGCTGATGTTTTGTCCTCTTAGAGTAACAAATTAATATTTTAGAGATTGCGCAAAATAATAGATTCAATTCATTTAATAATCAGGGCTCATAAGCAATTTACTTTGTAAGTTGAATAATTATATTTGTGTACGTACAGTTAACGCAGTTCAGGTCATAAATAATTTTATAAATATCTTTAAATTGCTTCGCAATGATAAAATGTTCTTTTCTCGATTTCCGCGTTTAAACGCGGAAATTTAAAAATACATGTGCGTGTATGTGTGCGTGCGTGCGTACTATACAACAAACAATTAATAAATAAAATACATTAAAAAATCAGGTATGGCTATTGTGCTATAAACATCTGTTTACTCTGTTATAATTACATACAATTGTAATTTCATTCAAATAATTTTCAAGAGTCTAAAGTGTAAAATTGTGCACGATCTCGAAATCCCTCAAAATTAGTTTCACCTAAAACAATGTTTGATTACAAGCCCTGATTACAGATTGACAATCTCGAATGGAGAAATAAGCCCTTTCAATTTAGTAAGTAAATATAATTCGGAAAACCTACATAACATATCTGAGTATTTCTTGAAAATAAATAATAATTGAATACAGGAATTGAAACCGGTATTATTCCGTCGAGTTCGGATGCGTGAGATTAATCCCTATGTGTTATTTGCGACAATGTAAATGTAACATTCAATATGAGGGCCTTTTCCAAATATTAGGAACTTGATCGGTCCAGGCATTACTCTGTGATACGATAATTTAATATACTCTAAACTAGACGGATCGCATATAAGTACACGACTTTCCGCTTCGCTATTTGCTGGCTGTGATTTGGCGCGAGACACGATTGTGTGCCTCTTGGTATCTACAGTACGGGGAAATTAAATTTATCGAAATTATACCCGTTTCATTCCTTACTTGAGAATACAATCGTAAATTTCGTATTTTGTTACAAATGCATATGTGTTTTCTTGTGTCTGTGTATGTATATATATATACATATATATACACACACATATGCACATATATGTAACGCACTCTTACGTACGTATCATACATAACATGGCGTTTGTACATTGTGCAAATAATCGAACACTTACAGTTAAACCGTTGTTCAGGGCGATATCGCGATGCACGTAGAATTAAGATACGCAGAAAGTATAATGAGAACACTCGCTACTCGTATCTCTCTTCCCTTCATCCCGTTCCACGCGTTACGGCAACCGAGTATAACGAAATTGTTCTATTTAGACGTTTAATTCAATAGGCTTTCACTGCTAGGCCGTGATTTAGTAACCAGACTATGTAAGGCTCGTATCCCGCTCTCCGTTAGATCCGGAGGCCCGAACAGAAAATCCCGTCGGGCGCTCGGGTTCGACAGCAGGTCCCGCATGCTCTCGGTCGAAAGTACCCAAGAGCGTAATGAGGTTTGTGTTAAATTTACTTTCCTAGCCAGTGTCCCGGTAATGTGCACGTCGTCGATCCAGAAGTACGGCTCCTTCTGGGCCTCGCGGTACAGTATAAATACACTATCGGGAGAGTATAGGATCGCCCATCCGGCACAATACGCGGGATAATGTCTACCGGGATACTCCAGAGGAGAGACGCGCCACTTCGAGCGCCAGGATCTCTTCACTGCGGAAGCCGACAGAAGATCACAGAGAATCAGACGTCTTGCACCCCACGGCGAGAGGCCATGCGTTAGAAAATCCAGCATGGCCGGTAAATGAACAAAAACGTCGTCGTCTAATTTAAGAATATATTTAGCACCTGAAACAAGGAAAATACAAGAATAACGAAGTCGAAGTCAGATTCATTCTCGTTAATATTAATAAAAACTGGAAGAGAGATATTCTTATCAAGAAAAAAGTCATGCGCGATCAAATCAATTCATTTAATCAATTCAATTTAATTAACAATTATTATCGACTTTTATCGGCTATTATAAAAACAGATAAATTGTTTAGATATTTCTATATGATATGAAAAAAAAGGAATAAACAGAAAATTAAAAATAAATAATATCGAGTTATATAACTGAGACATCAAGTTTCGTTCTCTTCTTACTTGGACAATAATAAGTAGCCCACTTTAATCCCATAACGTGTTTGTAGGTCATGTTTTTGTAGGCATCAAGAAAGTTTCCCTGTATTAAGTCTTGGTATTTCTTGTTCTCCTCCTCGAGCCTGGATTGATACTTCTCCGAGTGTCCCACGAGAAACAATAAAGTCACGTCCGGCGCTTGTTGACCCCAGGTCTCCCGCACGACATGCCTTTTCAGGAAATTCCCTGGCGCCGAGTGAACCAACATTAGCAGCAACGGCTGCGTACGGTTACAGGGGTTGTGGTTCATAGTGAACCTGAAGTCCCTGATGTTGATCAGCGTGGATTTATCATCGGACGGAAGATCGTTTATCGAGTAGGGCTGCGTGGAGGGCGTGACGTTTCCGGGAAATATAAGGACATATCCTGGCGCGGCCACACCGCCGCTGGAGTAGGGGATCGGCGATCCTGAACCATCGATGTGAATCCAAAACGAGAAGCATCCAGTTAGTGCCAAAACGACCACAAAGATGAGGGTGCATGGCGAAGTACCGGAGGCATGTAGCCGCCGCTTATCCAGCATACTAATAAGCCCCTTTCATCATACACATCGGATTCTGCCTGAAAACACATTTATATATCCTCGATTAGCTCAACTTGTTCTCGCATTTGCACATTATTTATTTGCAAGATGTACAATCAATCTTGCGTGTTCCGAGTGTCTCGCGCATCCTCATCGCTGTGCATCAATTTTATAGAATGTGTATTTATTTAAATTTATTTAAACTTATGAAAATTTTTATTTTGAGAAAACGCTATAGAATTTCTGATCGTAAAAAAAGTATACATATATATTTTAGTTACAGTATATTTTGAATTGGTTCATTAAACCGCGCGTTCACGTTTAGGTTGTGCATTACGCTTATTTTTAAATATTAAATATGTCTTTAATTATATGTTAATTTTAATCTTGGAATCAGCTAAAAATTGTATAGCTTCTAAAATTACATTTACATATTTTCTTGCTTTTTATTAGTTTATTTTAACGTCTTCTTTTTACCACTAACTTTTCTCATATTTTGTCAGTCTATCGATATTACCGAAACTACACATCAATGCCACTTTCCGAAGATACATGGGCGAATGTCTATACTATATTCTGAACATATGACATTTTTTTCCTTCCTCTTCCCGTTTTCGAAACAACGTTTCTTGTTCTGGTCCAAAGATTGTGCTGATATTTTGTGTCATTATACACACATACATATTATGTATAATTATATAAAAAGTAGGGCATCTAAAACAAAAACAAAAACAAAGTTTGGTAGGCCAAAATGTTTCGGACAAAAGTTGTATGATTTGAAGGGAGCAAATAATGAAATAAAATCAATCTTTTAAAAATCAATTTTTTTACCATATAGAGGTCACTTCCACTTTTAAAAATGGAATAATATATATGCTTTCTTTTACATAATATGATTCCTCTAATTATCTGCATATGAAAGTATTAAGATAAAGTTATTTAAAAATTAATACTTTACGAGATATTTTATACCTAATCATGCCGACATAACACTTTTCGGCATATGAAATATCTTGTATACTATTGATTTCTTGATAATTTTATCTTAATTCTTTTATGCATATGTGCTTCAAATCATACAACTTTTGTATATGAAACATTTTTACCTGCCGGGTTTAATTTTCGATATATTCCGGTGTTTTGTTTTAGATGTCCCATATCCTGTATATATTAATTATATATTTGTAATTCACTTGTTTATAAATTCAACGCGTATAAAATAATGAAAAAATATCAGGCACCAAAGTGAGTGATTAATTTAGAAATGATCTTCTAGCGCGTGTTAGCACGAAGGAATCTTATCGTATATTAACTTCTCGCGCACGTCCAAGGGGAGAACGAGTTCTAAAAGTTTCATAAACAATAATAATTCCACTTGCTTGGAGCCCGTGAGCTCGCGAAGTTAAAAAGTATTAAGTAATGCCGTTCGCAAGAAGTTTCCCACACGAATCAATGGATGCCACGAGGAGTCGCGCACGAGGTATAACGTATGGACTAGCTATCGACACTGATAAGCCCTCCGCTCGCAAGCTGATTCTGGCGTCTGATTCTATGATTCATCCTGAGACCATTTGGACTTTTATTATTTGACAAGAATCATTTTATCGGCATAGATTAAAAGCAGCTATATATTGAACGTACGAAATCACAACATCTCTCATTTACACACCATTCATAAACAGATAATGGCATATTTCATATTTTATATAATGATAAACGTACATCTTGGATTAATATTGTATTTTAGATTAGTTGACGATGTGACGATAAATTGTCAACGATTAATCGAAATACAAGAAATTTCAAAGGGAATTCATTTAGAGAAAAAAGTATGAAACAATGACACATTTTGCTAAATTATTACAAGTCGGAAAACTCAAACATTTACGAAAGCTATAGTATCTGCATGTAATAGCGTCTGTACATAGAAGTGCTTTAGCGATAACGCTGCTTAATAACGGTGTAAGCTTGTGATTAAATCATATGAAAGTGCACTTGGTAAGTAAAATATTGAAATCCGTACTTACAATAATAAAATCAGAAGTGCATAAAGATGCTGTTTGTTTATTTCTAAAATTATGACAGAATATAATTGGAGGAGAGTCTCAATTTGCTCGGTAGAATTAATACAAGTGCGCCTTTAAATTACATATGCATGGGGAGCTTGCAAGTTTAAATTGTAAAATCGAATTAAATTGCAAAACCAATTTTACACGGAAACCGCGGGCGAACTCTTGCAACAATATTCGTATATAAATTGCAAAAGTAACTCCGTAGAAAAATCGATAAAAGTTCCCTTTTAATAGGCACAGAGCACAACACAACAACAATGGTGCATTCGTAGACTTACGAGAGAACTAATTCCGCTCGCAAACAGGCGACAACTGTTATACTGCTTTTCTGTTAGCTCCTGCAATCCGCCCAGTGTAGATATGGATGGTAATATTATGCCACTCAATTTAAACATGGAACTCCACTATCTAACAATTGACATTGTTCGCAGTGATTGACTAAACGGTTATTTTTACTAAACGGTTGTAACAGTAATTGTTACTTTAAAATAAATGGCTATTTAAGCAGTTGTCCGATTCGGTTACTAACAATTTTGCAATACCATTAGAAAACAATTGTCGTTAGTTCAACTAATTAAATTGATTATTGCTCGTGTGAATAGTTATTCAGTTTTAAAATATTAATTGCGTTCCACAAAAAAAGCAGCTTTATAGCAATTAAAAGATTATCTTCCCCAACTGAAATATTAGATCCTTGACACTATTCATAATCTTTAGTCACTTGACACAGTTACTTAGTTTCCGATTGGAGAATCATTTTTCTTTTTTTCATTGGATTCATTCACTTTTCAAAAATGAATCCATTGGATTGGATTCATTTTTCTAATTAGTGCCTGCAGCAAACGAGTTGCCAACAATTAGATAGACGTCGATTAAACGGTCGATTAGAATGTTAAACATTATTGCTCTTGTAAAATTGTAACTGATGAAAATAACCGTCTGTCCGCTCAGTCCGTTAACCGTTACTCTTCGCACTTGATAACGGTAACTAAAAAAGTTATTTCTCGATAACCGTTACTCAGTAACAGAAATAATGCCCACTAATTATTCGTAATCCAAAAATATTCTGTCCAGATTTAGAAATAGCAATGTATATCATCGTATATCTGAATTTATCATTTGCCCAATTACATCGCGCTGCGAGCATCACGTTAAAAGTTTACGTTACAATCATTTTTCATCGAGTCACGCGAGGTATTATGCACAGCTATTTTTATATCGCCTCGTTTATCATTTCTTGGTTTTCTTATTTCCAAAGAACCTTTGAGAAACACTACGGTCTCTCAAAGTTAACAAAGAAGTGTATTTAAATGAGACGGTATTACTACGAGTTTTTTCTCCTTTTTAATAACAGTTTGATGACAAACATGCAACACGAGTTGTGACGAGACGTAACGTGTCTCGCAGCTATAATTTCGAAGTCACTTGTGCTATATATTTTTCTGCCTTACGTCAAGGGCATGAGAAGTTCATGAACGAATAGCGGCGGTCGATTAGCACGCGTAATGAATTCATTATTTCGCATCGTCGTAGCGAACTGTGTGGTGTCTATTAGAATGACGACATGTCATTAAGACTAAAAAGCCGCTCGATCGATTTGTTGTTTGACTTTAGTCAAGGCCGGTCTGAACACGGTATGTCAATCCAAGACCCCGATAAACATCATTTGTAGATGAATTTTTCAATTTCCAATGGCGAAACAAGGCTCTAGTGCCTGCCTCAAGATTTATGTGTATATGTGCAGTGTATTCTATCATCTCTTACGTAGACACGATTCTATATTGGAGGAGAATTAAGCCCCAGCCAATAGACTGAAAACACTTTAAAGTATCTATTTCTAACTTCCTCCGTCTTTTCACGTGCGAGTGGAACTAAAATCGAATATCAAGAACGCACGTAGAATTCTAAATGTCCAAAGGCATGTCGGCTCGGCTGGATAATGTCGGTCAATATCGTTCGCCGCGTTGTTACGTTTTCCTAAGCAGATAAACGGCAATCAGCATATAAGCTGTAAGCCAGAAGCCTCGTGTTTAATCGAGATAATTCACTTCGTACGGCTCGCGTTGCCGTTCTATCTTTGATGTTATGCAGGATGCATAACATCAAAGATAGAACATCTCGCTTGGAGAGCATACAGGCTATTTGCGTTTTTATAATTATCTTCCTATTGCGAAACTCGCAGATGGATGACGCGTTAATTTTTATGCGTAATATACACAGATAAAAACTTGATCAGTTTCCTACCCAGTGAAAAAAAAACATGCAAAAAGATAAACAGATAGCACACAGGAGAAAATAAATTCGGACATTATCTCGCTTTTTTTTTTATACATCCTGTCCCTTCTGAGTATTGATGTCACGCGTATACATATAAGATAACAGGTAACAATCGATTCGATCTCGGTGAAACGTACGCTCCTTCCGCTGGTGTCCTATCTTCGGTTGACAGCAGCCGGGAGTAAAAAAAGATAAGATAAACAATAATAATCATGAATTCTTTGTCTTATCATTTTTCATTCGATAATAGAAGTAATCCGACCCCTTTTTTTATAAAATATGTACGAAAAAAATTTGCTGGAAATTTTGATGATTCAACAAAATTGTTTTCAGATCTGTAGCAACATTTTTAGACTTTTCAGCAAAATCGTTCTTTCCGCGTGACAAACAATACTCGTCGTTGAAGAGTTGATAGGAATATTACGATATCTATAACTAATCGATGATTGCGGTCGGAACTTCCTCTCTTGACCTCATTTGGACTACAAATATCAATGAGCGATTAGGCGGTTTTCAGGTGATTAGGTCAGAAGTGCCCGCGCTATGTACAGTCAGTTCACGCTCTGATATTCGTAAAGCAAGATGGTAATTCTACTTTCGCGCAAACCGAATCGTTCCAACTGGTGAGGAACGAAATCGCGGGAAACGCGTGAGTGCGATTTCGTTATCGTTACGTTACAATTATGCGGCCGTATATCGTAATTAGAGCACGGATTGGGTTTTCGTGGGCCTTGAGGCTTAATCAAAATTAATTGAACGCGCAGGGTGTTACGCCCCCTCGGAAGTCTCAAGATGGATTTTACAGTAATATGGCTATTCACATCGCCCGAGTAAACGGGAATACTGTGCACACAAGGGCTGATTGCCTTGATCCCTGAATCATCGGTTTCGTAGTCGGCGTTATCGATCCCCGCGAGCCCATCTCGTGCCGACAAATATTAGGCCAATATTAACACTTGGAAATCGAATCAATAGGCTTTTCTGAAATTTCGTCACGTATAAGGGCATGTGACGTCTTGGCGATGAGCACGAGGCTTCTGAGAAAGTTATCTCGTAAAGATATAAAGGCTTTCTAGGGGAGCTTTCTTTAATGTCAAATAACGTTCAGGGAGCTTTCTTTAACATTAAATAACGCCCGAAGAGCTTTCTTTAACGTTAAATAACGTTCATAAACAATACATCAATCTCGTAACTCTAGGCAGCAAATCATTAATCAAGTAACATCCAAAAGTAAAGTTCAATATTCAACACTCTTTAACAAACAATATAAAACATTTCTTCTCTTTTTATCATGTAACATTACTTTTCATTCAATATGAAGTTCAGAATTATTACAATACATTCTTTTTATCCCTTTTCTATAAATAATAACGAGCAAAATTAATTATATAAGAAGGAGAGAATTAATTCTTAGATTATGAACATTGAAAAATAAAAATAAAATATTAAAAATGAAAACTACAAAAGCATATAAATTTTGCGACGCAACTGATAAACTATCTAACAAACTTTTATGAAAGAAGAGATCTTTTTCTCTTTTATTCTATTATTTTACGCGTATATCTGTACCGTAAAATTTATCTTCATTTCTCATTTCTATGCTTTTATGTTGTGTAAAATATCCACAACAAAGAGACACAACAGAAAGAGAGAGAGAGAGAGAGAGAGAGAGAGAGAGAGAGAGAGAGAGAGAAAGGGAGAACACGAAGAAACATTTG